TAACTTTATTTACCACACATACATACCTGTGAGCCCTTTGGGATGATGTAGTCACACAATTCAACATCTTGGTCTACTTTGCGCGGAACTAAGAGCGGAACCGGTGGATGCAATCTTAATGTTTCTTTGATAATGCATTGCAAGTAAGGGAGTCGAAAAACATCAGCTTCTTCTATTAATTTTCCTTTCCCAATGATTTCAGCAAGTTCAACTTGAGCTTTTTTTATTATCTCAGGTTGTTTAAGCAATTCTGCCATTGCCCATTCCAATGTGCTTGTGGTTGTATCAGTACCCGCACCAAATAGGTCCTATAACATTAATTTGTACATCAAAATAAATAACCATATATTGCAATAATAATAAAAAAAATTCATAAATTATAATAATATAACATAAGCTCATGATAAATAATACGAACCATGAACATGGACTTGATGTGATTATGATCAATCTCTTGAGGATTTTTTTCAGTAATATTGAGAAATATTTCAAGAACATCGCTCTTTTCCATGAATCCTGGTCTTTTCTTTTCCTCCAATCGTTCGTTGATCAAATCATCAAAAAGTTTAAACAACTTACCAAAATGAATGATAGCGCGACGTCTTATTCCTTGAAGATCAATTTTTTCAAGTATGGGGAAAAAATCTACTAAATTAGGCTTCCCTACCTCAGCCATGATACCCCATATAACTTCCTTCAACTCTACCTTTGAATCTGAAAAAGGATCAGCCAAATCCTTGGAGAAAAGTGTGTTTGACAACAAATTAAGACTAGTCTTGAAAACAACTTGACCTATATCCAAAGCTTCACCTTGTTGACTACATTTGTCACAATAATCAATCAATTGTTTCACCTTTTGAGACCTTAGATGTTGATTTGCATCAAGCTTATTGGAAGATAAGAGGTTAGTGTTCAATATTCTTCGAAGCGTTCGCCATTGAGGACAAACAGGAAGCCATGCCACAGAAAATTTGTAATGGTTGTGCGCTTGAAGAGCATTAGGAGCAAATCTAGATGAAAAGGCTTGATCTTGAGTTTTAAGGACTTGTTTTGCAATGGTTGATGAGGAAATGACTATTGTTGTTATTTGACCTAACTTTAAACTCATAATTGGACCATAATTTTTTGCAAGATTGGCTAGTGATATATGAGGTTTTGCACCTAACAACTGAAGGTTTCCAATAATTGGCCATGGTGATGGACCTGGTGGAAGTTTTTTGCTTCCTTTGCTACATATTTTTGCTATGATATTAGCCAACACTAAAATTGACACAAACACAAGTGTATAGTAATCCATAGGCCTCTCTCTCTTGCTTCAACTTTGAAAGCTGACAAGATAAATGATAATAATAATAAAGGATACAAGATACATATGTGTCACTAAATATCATAACATCAATCATGTACTAGTTAATATAATAACCACCACTAGTGTTACTAATTAAATAACATTATTTTATATATACATATATATTATATTCTATTCGTTAAAATAGACGTATCAAATAAATATTTTTTTAAAATTATTTTAATTTTTCGCTACTAAAATTACTAACTATAGTGATTTTTTAATAGGAAAACTTGATAAATCATATGTTACTATTTTTATTTTATTTTTTCGTTTTAATGAACAGTGGGATTTGAAGGAATAATTACTATTGTTTTTGAAAAAGAAATTCTCAAATGGATTTTATTATATCAAAAATAGGTCCAATAAAAATTAAAAAAAAAAAAGTGGAATAGAAATGAAATAGAAGGGTAGGCCAGCCCTATACACAAAAGTCCATCACTCATCACTCTTTATCACAGACGGTACGACTAATTGACCCAGTGGCGGCTAAAATATAAATTTAAAGGAAGGTTAATTATTTTTAAAATAGTTTTATTTATAATTATTAGTTTAATCCTTTTTGATATAGAATATATATTTCAGATTTATCAAAATTTCTAATAAACTTTTTCTCTTTTATGAAATTTTATATTTTCTAAATAATATTCAATTTTTTTAAAAGAAATATTTATAATCTATTATTTATTTATATTTTTTAGAAAAATAAAAAACAAGAGGTCCCCCAAATTAGGTGGAGGCTACTGACATTTTTCTAGATAGTTTAATGGGATTGAGCTGTCATAATATATCAAGGAATAGAAGAAGACATATTATTATTATTATTATTATTATTATTGTTATTATTATTATTATATGAGAAAATTAGCAAATATTAAAAAATGGTGAATGGCGAAATTTAAAGATTACCCAAAATAGACCTCTTTGCTAGCTAATATTCAGTTGGACATAAATAATGAATTATTTTCTAGGTCTCTATTTAGTTCTTCATTTTAAAAGTGACACACATATTAAGCACTAATTAATATCATAGATTAGTTACAATTTTATTCTTAATTTAAAAAATTATGCAATTCCCCTAATATAATAAATATATTTTCTGGTTTCAAAAAACATGCATTACAACTAAGTAGTACTAGAAATTTTCTAGAATTAAATAGGAACATATTAGAAAAGAAAATTATTTTCCTTTCTTGATTTATTGAAATGAACAAATAAATAGGAATCGATATAAAAAAATATGAACAAATAAATAGGGACAGAAGAAATATTTTTCTACTTTTAAAATAGACTGTTTTATGTTTTTCTCTTCAAAGAAAGGGCTATTGATATCCATATATATTTCTAAGAATTATTGGCATATATTTAGCCAAGATTAGTTAAAATCTAAAAAGTTTGGAAATATATAGAAAAAAATCTAAAAAGTTTGGCATTATATATATAGCAAAAATTTATTATATATAGCAAAAATTCATTGTGTCCACAAACACTATCTTATATAGGCACATGCCTATTTGTTTTATGTAAAAACTAAAATGTACATGACATATGACTTGTATTATAACTGAAAAAATGTGTGTATCAATTTTTTCTTTGATTTTTCTTTGTATTATTATAGCAAAAATAAGCAGAAGAGCAAGCAAAAAACCTTTCACCATGGCCAATATTATGGGAAATCTTCACTTTTGTAGGTCAAATTGCTTTCAAAACAATAACTTGATTGTAAAATCATGACCACTTCATATATGTATATTTAGTATAAGGTGTATATATTATCTATATACTAGATAGGTTAAAGGGATTGAGGTGTAATTATTTATTTTAGTACCATATTAAACTAGTTTTTTTTTTTTTAATTATTATGATTTTGACAAGAAGGCGTTCATGAATGATTTATATTTGGGAATTAGAACAAATATACTCCCGCACTATTGTAAATGATATGCAAATATCCTTCGTCATACTTTTGGGATATTAGTGCCCCTGTCGTCTAAAAACTAGAGCATATATACCCTTTATACTAACGGACATACACGTGTCATAATTTTATCCATTGATCTGACATTTATCGACGGATAAGATTGTGCCGCGTGTCCCTATTTAGTCTTCCGTTAGAGTGAAGTGCATATATGTTCTAATTTTTGGATGGCAGAGACATCAATGTCCCAAACGTATGGCGCAAGGTATCTGTGAACCATTTACTATAGTTCAGGGGTATATTTATCCTTTTTTCCTTTATATTTTCATAGATTAATTTGTCAATGATATTGGTATAACAGTTTATAATTTTTTTAAAAAAAATTTAAGGTAGATATGAATTATATGATTTTTTTTGTGTGTGTTATTATCAACGTGAATTGCTATACTGTTGATATTATGACCCCCTTTTTTGAATTCAAAGGTAGAGTTGATTGCGATTTTGACATCCCAACCCATCATTTTGACTTTATAAAAGGGAGTTGATTTTTACTAATCACATAAATTTGATAGAAGAAAATTATGAAAAATGTTCAAAATTATGAAAAATGTTCAAAATTAAATATGAAATGTATTAAAGAAATCAATGTATCTGAACTCGTAAAGTTAAATATTAAAAATAAATGTTGTGGGAAAGAAAGTCGATAATGTAAGATTAGTGATTTTTTAATTTGAGATGTGATCGTTTTTTCCCTTGTTTTTTTTGTTATGATACCTTTCTAAATTATAATTTTTTGAATGATTTCTCTACATTTAATTGAACTTGAGATATGAACACTATTTTTTCTTTTTACTTTGTTCACTTCTTAAAATATAGTTTTAGAATGATATCTTAATATTTATGCTTCATAAGATTCACATTTTTCATCTTTTTGAATAAATTTCTTAAAAATATTTTTAGTATGATATCTCAACATTCATGCTTCATAAAATTCACGTTTTTTATCTTTTAAAATAAAATAAGATTTAAAAGACAAAGAAGGAAATAAGAAAAAATAGAATAAAACGAAGAAGAAAAGGGTAAAATATATCAATATTTTGTGACAATTGTTACTTTATGTTGTCAATAAGGTATATACTCTTTAATTCAAGTTACTTATTTTTCAAAATCAATATTTTTTAGTTCCAACTTCTTCTTTGTTAACTTCATTGCTATCTATTTTTTAATTTTTCCTCTATTAACCAACCTAAAGAATTGTCAATCAAGATCACTAAGAAATAGATAAAATTTTGAAATTAGAAGACAAAAGAAGGTAAGAAAGAAATATATTTGAAATTAAAGAGAACAAAGGATAGAATTAACTACCCAAAAAAGATTGAATAGATACAAATTTCCAATTTTTCTAGTTTTACTTGGCTTATATACAAATATATTAAAGAGTATATTTCAGTATACAATAAATTCCTAAGAATGACAAGTTATACTGATTAAGAGAATTAAGAATATGAGTTTGAATTTATTTGTAACGTAATTGAAATAATGAAAAGACAATCAAAATTAAAGTTATTAAGATAATTATTTTTACAATAAGTTTCAATAAAAAGCAAAAACAAAAACGAAATATGTCAAAATAAAGAGAGACAAACAGGATAAATTTTGTTGAAAAAAACTTGACAAGTGAAGATGGCCATGGTGGAAGTTTTTTGTCTTCTTTGCTACATATTTTTGCTAGAATATAAAGAAAAAAATCAATGAAAAAATGGATCCAAACACCACAAGTGTATAGTAATCCATTAGATGCTATATATTTGCAAATACAAAGTGTAGGGGAGGAAATATTGATAATTATTGTACTTTATATAGTAATCTTTTCCCTTTGAAATTACTTAAACTTCAAAAAAATGAATAAATTTGAAGTTTGAAATATTTTTATATTTATTGCCTACATTTTTGTTTCTTAAGAAAATAATAAAACTTTAATTGGAAATTGGTGATCTCAAATTTTTGACCATCAAAGAGGAGATGGGATAGCCCGCAAAGGATGAGCTTTGACTAAAGCCAAACCAAATTTCTCCTCCATGTCTAGGTCTTCTGGTCTAATGCCTGCCTCGAGTTTCCAATTGAAGGAATTCAAGAGTGAGCCCAACATGACTGGAATCATTCGCAATGCAAGTGGCAAGGCAGGGCACATTCTTCTACCCGCACCAAATGGGATCAGTTCAAAATCTTGTCCTCGCACGTCTAAATTTGAATGCCAAAACCTCTCAGGTTTAAACACTAAGGGATCCTCCCAAAAAGTAGAATCTCTATTAATTTCCCACACATTGACTAGTACCTATTAAAAAAGTGTCAAATAGGCATTCTTGTCTATGTTTTGGACAAGTCATATATTTAATGAAGTTATAACTACTATATGGAAATTACATAAATTGAGATAACTTATGTTCTACCATATATATACCTGTGAGCCCTTTGGAACGATGTAACCACACAATTCAACGTCTTGCTCCACTTTGTGTGGTAGTAAGAATGGAGCAGATGGATGTAATCTTAATGTTTCTTTAACTGTGCACTGCAAGTATGGAAGTCGAGAAATATCATCTTCTTCTATTGATTTTCCTTTTCCAATAATTTCTTCAAGTTCAATCTGAACTTTCTTCATAATCTCAGGATGTTTAAGTATTTCTGCCATTATCCATTCCATTGTGCTTGTGGTTGTATCAGTACCCGCCAAAAATAGGTCCTATAAAATCAATTTGTACATCAAACTCTAGACTACCAATAATATAAAGAAATAAATTGTTCCCTCCGTTTTCTTTTTTTAGAGTCAAACGCTAAGAACTTTGCCTATTATTTTTACAATGTTCTTTTTTTCATCATAGGTATACTACTTTTCGTATAGTTTTTGAATATCTAAATTTTTTATTTAAAATATCGAATTAATGTAATCTAATTTGACTTTTTAAAAATTGCAACATGACCACAGACGAGAAGCTTTTACGTATTACGGAAAAGCAACTCAACCAAATCGTTGAGGAATGAAATGCCCTAGCCGAAATTTGGAAAAAAGCTACTTTCTTCTGTATGGTGTTGCCGGTGTCGCCCAAGACCAAAAAGACAACATATATCTCATCCTTGAAATGAGATGAGCTTGATCTTAGCGAATACCTCAAAACGGTCCACTTCATCACAATAAGATTTGTAAATGCTAATTAAGGATGGAGTCCATAAATGAAGAGGGTTAATTGATGATATATATATATATATATATAGCTTATAACTCATTAATTAATGAGAAAAGAGCACAAACCAAAAATACGGATTTGATGTGATTATGATTGATTTCTTGAGGATTTTCTTCACAAATACTGAGAAACACTTCCAAAACATCACTTCTTTCACTATGAAACCTTCTCTTTTCCTCCAATCGTTCGTTGATCAAACCATCAAAAAGCTTAAACAATTTACCAATATGAATGGTTGTACGACGCTTTATTCCTTGAAGATCAAACTTTTCAAGTATAGGGAAAAAATCCACTAGGTTAGGATTCCCCATCTCATCAATGATATTCTTTATAACTTCCTTCAACTCCACCTTCGAATCTGAAAAAGGGTCAGCCAAATCCTTGGAGAAAAGGGTATTTGACAACAAATTAAGACTAGTCTTGAAAGCAACTTGACCTATATCCACAACTTTACCTTGTTCACTACATTTCTCACAATAATCAATCATTTCTTTCACTTTTTGAGACCTTAGATGTTGATTTGCATCAAGACTTTTGGAAGAGAAGATATTTTTGTTCAATATTTTGCGCAGCGTTCGCCATTGAGGACAAACATGAAGAAATGCCACAGAGAATTTGCTATAGTTATGTGCTTGAATGGCATTAGGAACAAATCTATATGTTGAAAAAGCTTGATCTTGAATTTTGAGGACTTGTTTTGCAATGGTTGATGAAGAAATAACCACTGTTGTTATTTGTCCTAATTTTAAACTCATAATTGGACCATAAATTTTTGCAAGATTGGCTAGAGATACCTGGGATTTTGTACCTAACAAGTGAAGATTTCCAATAATTGGCCATGGTGATGGACCTGGTGGAAGTTTTTTGTTTCCTTTGCTACATATTTTTGCTAGAATATAAAGAAAAATCAAAGAAAAAATTGATCCAAACACAAGTGTACAGTAATCCATTATATGCTATTTGCAAATACAAAGTGTAGAGGAATCCAATAATATAGGTGTGTCATGTGTGGGTGTGTAATACATTTTAAAAAAAATAATAAGGCTTAACTCATCTGTGGCCCCTTAAAGTTGTCCACATAATTCACTTAGACACCTAAACTAGGACTTATACCTATTGAATACCTAAATTATCAAGAAATGTGTCTATTAAACACAAAACGTTGATGTGGCAAAATAAGTGTATCTCACTACTGCTGAGCGCGTGAATGCATTTTTTTATTTTTTTTAAAAAATATGTATAACCTACTTTGTTGACACTTGGCATGCATTGATTAAATATATAAAAAAAATTAATTTAAAATCTTGTAAATCATTTAAAAAAGAAAAAAAAAACCCACACTCATCTTCCTTCAGGCTTCAACCCACCATTTTTTGCCTATTCAAAAAGAGTCGGAAGTTTTACGCTACCGGCGGCCATCCATCGGAAAATCTTTATATTCGAACTCAACAACTCTTTCACATGCTGTAATTTAAGAAGTCGATTTTTGCGTTTAATTTTTAAGAGAAGTTCGTTGGACTTGTTGGTGTTCAAGTGAAGATGTCCTATTAAAACCCTAAAACCTACATCAATTGATCTATCAATTGGTACTCTCCTCATTATCTTGACATTCTTCTCATTAAACGGAAAAGAATGTTAATGTTGAAAATACATTGAGGGATGTTAAAGTTGGAATGACGATGGAGGAAAAGAAAGAATTGCCATGGATGGGTGGATTTTTTTTTAGAATTCTTTTTAATTTTTTAATTAGTTAAATAGATTAAAATAGTTGTCTTTTAAAGTTTTATTTTTTAAATAACTTTTTGGACTCAAATACCACGTGTCATCATTCAATTTGTCATTATGTCATGTCATCGCCATGTGATAGCGAGCGTATTATACACATTTCAGTTTTTTTGTTGATTAACAAAAAAATGTCCAATAGGTATTAGTTTTAAGGGGCATAGGTGTTCAATAGGTACAAACTTTAGTTGAGGTGTCTAAGTGAATTATGTGGACAACTTTAAGGGGCTACATATGACTTAGGCCAAAATTAATGTGTCATACATTTAAAAGTTTTTAGAAAATTGAGAATGGACAAAAGTGACTCACCACCTTTATTGTTAACCATATTATCTTATATAAATGTGTGTGTCATACATTTAAAAGTTTTTAGAAAATTGAGAATGGACAAAAGTGACTCACCACTTTTATTGTTAACCATATCTTATATAAATGTGTGTGTCGTATTTGATATTTATAAACTTCTTTATATATAAGAATCATCAAATGGTAGAAGAAGACAGGGAGTGATGTATAGCTACTATTATTAAATATTTTTTTTAGTGTACGGTAACGCGATAAGATTTATTTATATAAATATAAATTATAATATTAAAAAAAGATATTTTGTGTCTCACACATTTAATATAAGGTGTATCATAAAGTAGGCTTCGTTTTGTAATTTCACCTTGGAAATTGATGATCTCGAATATTTGACCTCAACTTGCTCCAAGGACAAAATTTTAAATTCAAAAGTCAGAACTCGTAAAACTTGAAATTTTGCCCGTGGGGCAAGTGGAGTCTAAAGTTCAACACCCGCCATCAACAAGATGAATCTCGTAAACCACCCGAGTAAATCATGTAGTCGGAGAAACATCAAAAAGGAGATGGGATAGATAGCAAAGGATGTGCTTTAGCTAAATCCAAACCAAATGTCTAAGTCTTGTGGTCCAATGTCTGCCTCAAGTTTCCAATTGAAGGAATTCAAGAGTGAGCCTAACATGACTGGAATCATTCGCAATGCGAGTGCCAAGCCAGGGCACATTCTTCAGCGCTCACCAAATGGAATCAGTTCAAAATCTTAACTTCGTACGTCCAAATTTAAATGTCAAAACCTTTCAGGTTTGAACACTAAAGGATCCTCCCAAAGAGTAGAATCTTCACCAATCTCCTAGACACTGACTAGTACCTATTAGTAAGGCATGGTTGTTTAAGTTTGAATAAGTCAACAAAAGGCTAATTAATAATAAATGAAAGAAATTACATAAAGTAGTTTTGCGTCTAAGTTTCTCATATTTCAATAGTTTATTTGTTTTACTAGTTTATTATTATTTTTTTGCTAGTTCCATTTTTCGATTACAATATTTGAATGTTTCTATTGTGAGATCGGAGTTGTTACAATACATACTCATATATTGAGATTTCCAAATAGCCCCTTTTTCATCTTGATGATTGAAATATAGTCATTATCATAAAGTATCAAATTCCGCATATGAAATTTCAATACATTATCATAAAGTATCAAATGCTCATATATAGATGCTAGTTAATGTGTGGACAATTGGTCGAGACCCAGCTTCGTGGAAATATCCTTTGGTGAGAGGTTCTTGGATTTAATTAGAAGTGGATGTACGAGGGAAAGATTTTGAATTAATTCCATTTGGTGCCGGTCTAAGAATATGTCCTCGATCACCACTGGCAGCATTGAGAATGGTTCCAATAATGTTGGGTTCACTCTTCCATTGGAAACTTGGAGAAGGCATTATTAGTACACCAAAAGAATAAGACATGGAGGAGAAATATCACTTTAGCCAAAGCCCGTCCTTGGCGAGCTATTCCCTCTCCTATTTGACGTAGAATTTTACTCCCTCCGTTTCAAAAAGAATGACTTCCTCTCTTTTTTAGCCTGTTTCAAAAAGAATAACCTCTTTCTATTTTGGGTAACAATTTAATTTCAGCTTTTCACGTGGCATGTTTAAGGTCATAAGATCAGAGGGCAATTCTGTACATTTGACCTAACTTTGATTTAGGACCACATGATTCAAAAGTGTTCTTTATGCTCTTAAACTCCGTATCAAGTCAAACCAGGTCATTCTTTGTAAAACGGAGAGAGTATTTTTTTTCGTCCCTCGTACCTAAGACATATGATGTTTTGTTTCATACGACGTTAATTTACATGTGGCTCATTATTTGAGTTCTGTTTTATGTAGTGATTTGCTATTTACTACAAGGAATAAAGGGTATTTGGTTAGACAAGACTTATTATTATTCTTTTATAAGAATCCATATACATAGGTGTCTTCAAAATTTGAATAATGTTACATTATTTTGACATCTCATATATATTATTTGGTGTAAACTCAAGTATGAATAAGTACTTATCAACCGACTGACAACATCAAATAGGAGATGGAATAACTCGTAAAGGATGAGCTTTGGGTGTGATAAAACCAAATTTCTCATCCATGTCTAAGTCTTTTGGATCAATGCCCGCCTTAAGTTTCCAATTGAATGAATTCAACATCGAGCCCAACATAACATGGACCATTCTCAATTCAAGTGGCAAGCCAGGGCATATTCTTCGACCAGCACCAAATGGAATCAATTCAAAATATTTTCCTCGCACATCCAATTCTAAACTCTGGAATCTCTCAGGTTTAAATATCAAAGGTTCCTCCCAAAAAGTAGAATCTCGACAAATTGCCCACACGTTGACTAGTACCAATGAACCCTTTGGGATGATATAGTCAAACAATTTAACATCATGGTCTACTCTGCGCGGGATTAAGAATGGAGCTGGTGGATGCATTCTTAGAGTTTCTTTGACGATAAATTGCAAGTAAGGGAGTCTGGAAATATCAGCTTCTTGTATTGATTTTCCTTTTCCAACGACTTGTGCAAGTTCAGCTTGAGCTTTTTTCATAATCTCTGGTTGTCCAAGTGTTTCTGACATTGCCCATTCTAATGTATTTGTAGTTGTATCAAAACCACCAATAAATAAGTCCTGTAACATTTTTGAATACAACTAGTTACCAATACAAGAAAAAAGCTATATAATATTATATACTAGCTAGGTTTGGGAAAAATACTCCTTATAGGTTTGAAAAATCCATTATTTGTTATAAGTTTGAGAAAACAATTTTCTTGTAAGTTTGGACTAATATATAATAGTTGTACTTATATTATTATTCTTTTCATTTGTAGTGGAAAACTTTCTCTGTTTTGCCTCGATCGAGGACATATGATTACTTGAGTCTTGTTAAAAAGTTAAAGAAGGGATAAAAGAGAGAACCAGGAGCATGGATTTTATATGATTCTGATCGATCTCTTCAGTATTTTCTGCGTTGAGAAGCACTTCTAGAACATCACTCTTTCCATAGCATCCCCTTCTCTTTTCCTCCAATCGCTCATTGATCAAACCATCAAAAAGTTCAAACAACTTACCAATATGAATGGTTGCACGACACCTTATTCCTTGAAAATCAATCTTTTCAAGTATGGGGAAAAAATCCACTAGGTTGATCTTCCCAACCTCATTCATGATGCGCCAGATAACCTCCTTCAACTCATCAACCTTTAAATTTTAAAAAAAACGTATGTCATAAACATTTTAGTATATCAAATGCATTGTTCAAACTCTACCTTTGAATCCGAAGAAGTGTTAGCCAAGTCCTTGGAGAAAAGTGTGTGTGACAACAAATTGAGAATAGTCTTGAAAGCAACTTGACTCACATCCAAAGCTTCACCTTGTTGACTACATTTTTCACAATAAGCAATCATTTCTTTCACCTTTTGAGACCTTAGATGTTGATTTGCATCAAGACTATGAGGTGAGACCATTTTCGTATTCAATATTCTTCGAAGCATTCGCCATTGAGGACAAACAGGAAGCCATACCATTGAGAATTTGGAGTAGTTGTGTGCTTGAACAACATTAGGAATAAATCTACTTGAAAAGGCTTCATCTTGATTTTTAAGGACTTGTTTTGCAATGGTTGATGAAGAAATGACTACTGTGGTCATTTGTCCTATTTTTAAACTCATAATTGGACCATAATTTTTTGCAAGATTGGCTAGTGATACATGAGGTTTTGCACCTAACAAATGAAAGTTGCCAATAATTGGCCATGGTGATGGACCTGGTGGAAGTTTTTTGCTTCTTATTTTTGCTATAATATAAAGAAAAATCAAAGCAAAAATTGACACAAACACAAGTATATAATAATTCATCACTCTTCCTTCCAACTTTGATACTATATATTCCCAAAGTTGATGTATAAAGAAGTTGCCTTTTAAGGGTATTACTTGTTGGAACATTTTAGTCTTATTATTAATTAATAGAAAATTCTCTGTTTGGTTATTTTATAGAAAACATTAAATGGCAACTTAATTTTGTATTGACTTTTCCTTTTTAGCATATCATGAATACAAATTTTGTATTGACTTTTAATTAAATTATTGGATACTTATTCACAAAAAGTAGTACAAAATAACTGATCGGAAAAACTACAGCAAGGCAATACATCTCATGTATTTAATCTTTAATTTCGAGATCAACATGGGTTGTGGTGCACTAGTGGAGTGTTTCACCCTTAACCAGAGGTCTCGTGTTTGAGACCTGGGTATGGAGAAAATCTTGTTGGGAGTGCCACCACCGCATGAGCCCTGCAGTGCACGGTCTAAATTTGATCAGAGCTCCTATGTGGGTTCCGGACACAGGAGGAGAAACCAAAAAAAATCATAATTTTGAGTGAATTTCTTGGCCTATAGCGGGAAAATGGAAGGGTAGAGTAATTACTAAGGCCTAACTTTTGTTGAAATAAATTATGCATATTGTTTTCATGCTCATATATATTACTCCTTCGATCTTAAGATAGTTGTCACATTTTACTTTTCAGTAGCTAATTTAACTAAGTGAAACCTAAATTTGATTAAATCAATTCAATATTTATAGATTAAAATTTAAATATTCAAAAGTTATACAAAAATTACTATAAAATCGTATAATTCTACTCATATGAGTAGTATTTACTTTAAGAAATATAGGGTGTCCGGTTCGTGAACAAGTTATATTGGAATTATAATGTGAAAGATCAAATATTACTTTATGAGTAAATAATGAGGCGATTAATTAACGAACATTTTGGTACGATTCACAAAAGACATACATTCGATAACACAAAATATAAATAAACATAGATTTATCATCTATAAACCTTTAACTTTTAAGTTCATTATTTCAACACGGACCTATTAACTTGGAAGCTACGCGATATTTCATCGCGCAGCATGCCAAGTTGACATATGTGGAGTATCAGAGGTTTTATAAGTACTTGCACTAGAAGCATCTCTTTCACCTTTCACTGCATCAGCTGAAGCAATGGATTCAAGCTCCACCATGTCTTCAGTTGTTAACTTAATGTACAGAGCTTCGATGTTCTGTTCGAGGTTTTTGATCTTAGTGGTACCTAACAATGGACAATTTAGCATATAGTCAATCAGTTCAACTGAATCCAGTATTTTCATCACAAATCAATCTAAAAAAGTTTGAACTCGTCAAATTCAAATAACGAATCCATCTCTGGTACCTGGGATGGGGCACACGTCATTTCCTTGGTGATGTACCCAGGCTAAGGCTAATTGAGATGGCGTACATCCCTTCTTCGTTGCCATTTGGCAAATTCTCTCGTATAAGATCTTGTTATGCTTGAGATTCTCAGCTTGAAACCTTGGTATATGCTGCAAAATCAATATATAGTATTTATACAAGAGTGTTTTTTTCTTATAACTATATAAATTTTAGTTGAAATGATCGCGCAGTTCAACAAATACCGCAAACCTTCCGAAAGTCTTCATTTGACAGATCCTCGAGCAGCTTCGGACCTGATGACAAAAATCCTTTACCTAAGGGACTATATGCTACAATTCCAATTCCAAGCTCCCTACAAAAATCAATTTTAGTCATGCCGATTAATGTTGTATTAAGAACTTAAAAACTATGGTTTTAGACGTTAAAAGAGTATTAAATGGATGAATGTTGTAAACCTGCAAGTAGGAATTATTTCTTCCTCTACATCTCTTGACCATAGAGACCATTCTAACTGTACTGCTGTTATTGGATGAACTTCATGTGCTCGCCTAATCGTCGATGCTGAAGCCTCAGAGAGACCTATGTATTTTATTTTACCCTCTTCGACTAGCTTCTTAAGTTCTCCCATCTTGAAAACAAAAAGCAATTCATCAAAGGATAATACATCGCGAACAACAAGTTTGATCATTGCTTCTTATCAGGGGACTAAAAACAGGATTTTTAAACAGGGGACGAAACATTCTAAATTTCTAACAAGCTTGTTGTCGTAACTTATACTGATGATGTATATAACTTACCGTGATTTCAATTGGCACACGTGTATCGATCCTATGTTGATAGTATAAATCGATGCAGTTAACATCAAGTCTCTTTAAGCTAGCTTCACATGAAGCTCTAACATAGCAGGGATCTCCAATTATTTCTATTTTTCCATCTGCAGAAGCATTAATTCCAAACTTTGTTGCCAACTCAACTCGTTCTCTCGTCTCTCCCTTCAAAGCCTATCGCGATTATACAATCAACGTTAATCAACAAGTTTATCAAATGTTATGACATATTTAGACTCATTCTTTTCGGAACTGACTAAATTCGTAACGTAACGCACCTTTCCTATGAGGATTTCATTTGTGTAAGGCCCATATATATCTGAAGTATCAAGAAAAGTGATACCAGAATTAATGGAATGGTGAATAAGTTTGATCATTTCATCATCAGGTTTTGGGGGCCCATAAAATGCAGACATGCCCATACAGCCCAGCCCTTGAGCTGATACTTCAAGGCCCTGTGAGCCCATCTTCATTCTTGGCACTTCTTTAATTCCTTCTGCAGCCATTGATGAATGAAAGAGAAAAAAAACAGAGAAACAGAGTTGTGTGTGTGAGTAGGATGTAGATGTTGAGGTATATATATGGAAATGGGGGCGCGGATTTAGAATTTAAATTCGATTTATTTGACTAGATACGAAGTTTAATAAATTAAAAGATAGAAGGTTGAACTTATGGTAACATTACAGAGACATTTGTGCGTAGTTACAGTTTCACTTACGGGTTAGTAGCTTTGATCTAAGACTTAGTATTTATGTTTAAAAAAAATCATCTAATACGTATAAACAATATATTCAGAAATTAATATATCATCTTTTTCAGAATTCAAAATTTTGGCTTAATTTTTATTTGTCTTGATAAAATATTATGTTATTATAAGTAAAAATGGAGAGTATAGAGCTAAATTGTTTTTTTTTTAATATAGAAAGATGTCATTCAATTCGAGAGAGACTGACTACATAGAAAAGTATCACACAAAATGGAGGGTCATCTTATACGCATGACGCATATCACAGTTATTTATCACCACATTAAAAACAAGGTAAATTTACCCACCAAAGTGCAAATAAATATGAAGAAATTGTTAATAAGTTTCTCTTTTTCTTGCTGGAAATTGAATTTTGATCTTCAACGATTTTATCAACTTTATTGATCATTAAATCATAATCTTTTGCGTTTTCACCAATATTGATCATATAACTAAAATTAAAAAGTGATTTTTCCTCTCTACAAAAGTCAAATAAGTAAAGTTTGCTATTAGCCCGCCATTTACATAAAAGCTCGTCAACAAAATAATATATTCAATTATTGGGTGCTAGTTAATGTTAATTCTTTTGTTTAGTTAATTTATTAGGTGTTCGATTTAGAAAAAATAAATAAATTATTTTAGCTCCGTTCAATGTACACTGAGTAGTAAAATTATCGGAATATTTTAATTATTAAAGAGTATTTAATTTGACTAAATTATTCTTTATCTCTTTTAAAAACGAGTTCGGAGGAGAATTAACCATTCAATCTTTTGTGACCAAACAAAATTTGAAAAAGAAATACACACGGAGAGAAATAATCCATCAATCAAGAACATGAAACCGTTTTATATAAAATAAGGTATGAACAGGTCGCAAACACCTTTGAGTTGTGATTTCAATTTATTATATATAACAAAAGGTTACGTCACTAATGGTAGTGGGTGGTGATTGTTGATAAAGTGATGATGAATAGAGTGGTAGTTGGTAATTGTGGACATAATAAGACAATCGATACTAGATAAGTATTTATTATAAAGTTTACGCGATTTCAAAGAGGAGATGGGATAGCTCGCAAAGGATGAGCTTTGGCTATGATGGCACCAAATTTCTCCTCCATGTTTAAGTCTTTTGGCTCAATGCATGCCTTAAGTTTCCAATTGAATGAAGTCAACATCGAGCCCAATATTAGTGGCATCCATCTCAATGCATTTATATTAGTAAAGATCGAGGATGAAAATAAAGTCATAGTGCTCCTAAATTCGTTGTCATCTTCCTACGATACTTTAGCAACAGTCATTTTACATGGTAAGGACTCTATTGAGTTGAAGAATGTCACATCAGCCCTTTTGCTTAATTAGAAGATGAGAAAAATGTCTGAAAATCTCGAACAGACTCTCATCACGGAAAGTAGAGGCAGAAGATACCAAAGGAGATCAAGTAACTATGGTAGATTCAGAGCTCGTGGAACGTCCAAGGTCCGATCAAAATCAAAGGCCAGAAATTACTACAATTGCGATCAACCAAGATACTTCAAAAGAGATTGTCCAAATCTAAAAAGGAGCAAAGGGGAAAGTAGCGGACAGAAGAATGATGACAACACAGCTGCCATGGATGGGACACACGTCGTTTCCTTGGTGATGTACCCACGCCAACGCCAGTTGAGAAGGGGTACATCCCTTATTTGCTGCCATTTCACAAATCCACTCGTACAAGATTTTGTTCTGCTCAAGATTCTCAGCCTGGAACCTTGGTAGGTGCTGCAAAAATTGACGATCTATTTGAGTCAAACATGTATTTTTTTTTCACATAGTAGCACAAATGTATATCAGTAGCCACAAATACGATTCTCAATCAACAAGGTCAAAAGGCAATACGTATGCATTAACTAACTACCATGCTCCTTATATACATTTAACGACAGAAATATACTCGCGATATATATACACAACAATTAAACATGATATTTGTATGTTTGAAACTCAAAACCATACACAAAAACTAGAAAATCTAACATGTTTGATATTCAAAACAACAATGAATACAAAGTATAGAGTTAAAAATCGAAGAGAGAATACCAACCGTGATTTCAACCTGTTTCTTAAGTTCTCCAATCTAGTAAACAGAGTTGAAACGTTGATCATTTTAAACCCTGCATTTTATAGAGTTAAAAATCGAAGAGAAAGAAGACCAACCGTGATTTCAATGGGCACACGCGTATCAATTCGGTGCTGAAATAGTCAAGGTGCACAGGAGCTGATCTACACACTATGATTATTGGAAAAAATACATCTAGAGTACATTGATCAAACATCATTATAATATAAAATAAGTTATATTTTAATGAATATTTATAGATAGATATATGATTTTCATAGAAAGTAATAAGTTCAGATAATGTTGCAATGCATAATGGTCATTACTGTGGAGTTCATAATTACATACTTATATATATTGAATGAGTTTTCTAATTTTTTTTAAAAAAAAATACTAAATTCGGAGAGAGTTAAAAAATTAGTTATGAATTCTTGACACTAATCTTGAATAGATTATTGTACATTTTAAATTATCTTTTTATATATAAATATAAAGTCTGAATACTAATAACACGACATATAGAATTATACTTAACATTTATAACTTGATAGTACAAAAGTTTAACACTTACAATATATATAGCTTTAAGCGTAGAGATAAATACTTTTTAGTTAAATATTAAAGGAGCGGTCGATCGGAGTAATATTTCATATTATGGAGTGTGACAAAGAATATGTAAGCACATACGTCATTATTAATAATAAGAGGACCATGGGGGTTGTATGAGTATTTTATTGCCATCATGATGACCTTTTTTTCTTCAAAAAATTGCATGATATTATATTATTTTAAGCTTGTTCGAGAAATTATTTATTTAACTTTATAGATGTCTTTTGTGATAATATGTAACGTAGGACTTGAGCAAATTTTGAAAGCTAAACATGCTAAAAAAAATGTCTATAGCTAAAAGAACGTATGTTTGCCTGAAACTATCATGATTCAAAAATACTTGTCCAATTAAGGAAAAAGATTGAACCAGTACATATTATGTAAGGCAATGGGGTAGAAATTGTCAGTATTTTACTCCATAGGTAAAAGTCTACAAACATAAACATGAACTTTATTATTTGAACCATAATTAAATGGCACTATAGTTTGAATTTTGAAACAGAGAAATATACTCTCTCAGTGCATATTATGCACAACACAAGAACAACAACTCAAGCAACTGCAACATCATGTAGCCTTCCATGCTGAAAGGGGCGGCGTTTCTGAATTTTTGAAAGTACTCATACCAGGTATATATCGATCACCCTGGACTGCGTTAGCTGAGGCAATGGATTCAAGTTCTGCCATGTCTTCTGATGTTAACTTTACAGACAGAGCTCCAATGTTCTGGTTGAAGTTTTCAATCTTAGTGGTGCCAGGGATGGGACACACGTCGTTTCCTTGGTGATGTACCCAAGCCAACGCTAGTTGAGAAGGAGTGCATCCCTTCTTAGCTGCCATTTGACAAATTCGCTCATACAGCTTTTTGTTATGCTCAAGATTCTCCGCCTGGAACCTTGGCAGATGCTGCAAAATTGAGGATCAATTTTAAGTCCAACCAATTGAAGACGTACTTTACTCTCCCACAATATCGCGTAGCAAGTAGAGGAAAACAAATAGTAACACTAAACAGCACAAAGGAGAGCATTGTATACCAATTAAACAAATGGCAATATATAAGGGACAATGTTAAGTTCATACTTCATGACTTTTGATTGAAAGCTTTTGTCCCTAGTAATACCATCCAGATCAAATAGCTTATTATTCGAAACTCTTTCTTCTATAAAACAAGCAAATATACTCGCAACAGAAATACATCAATGCAATTAAACATGATAGCAATATGTTTGAAATCCGGAACAACAAAGCAAACCTTTCGGTAGTCTTCATTTGACAAATCCTCAAGCAGCTTTGGACCGGAAGACAAAAAGCCCCGTCCTAGTGGACTGTATGCCACAATCCCAATTCCGAGTTCTCTGAACGATTAACAGATAGGAGAACATCAGGATCTCACACTGCTGTATACCCCAAACACGAAAACTAACAGAAAGAAGAATAGACCTGCAAGTAGGGATTATTTCTTCCTCTACATCTCTCGACCATAGAGACCATTCTAATTGTACTGCTGTTATTGGATGAACAGCATGTGCTCTTCTAATTGTTGATGCTGAAGCCTCGGATAGACCTATATATTTTATTTTACCTTCTTCGACCAGCTTCTTAAGTTCTCCAACCTGGTAAAACAGGAATCTCAAGGGAATAAGAAATGTTGACAATAATCTGAAAAAGAGAGCAGTTAATCTATTTTTCCGTTCATCTTCATATTGTTTGATTCCAGTCTCTGGATGATCATTTCTTTTATTGTTGCTTTCTTTTTCAATAAAGCAGAAAGACAGGGAATTGTCTTGCTGATTTGGACTATAAGGGCAATGATTTTGGTCTAAGCAATATAAAGAGTGTGGCTAACAAGTGCTAGATCAATTCCGAAATATTGCATTGAGATAATAAGTAAAAACATATACTCGAATACTAGCCAGAAGCTTGCATTACAGTCAAGAGCATTTGTAGATACAATATAACCACTATACAGTAATTATTTTATTAGATTTTAGCAACACTATTTCCTCAGTAGTCATCCTCCGAGTAAGATCAAATATTACATCATTTTCCAAAATACATAATAAGTACCTTCAAAGAGTCATAAATGGAAAAAAAAGAACTAACCGTGACTTCAATGGGCACACGTGTATCAATTCGGTGCTGATAGTACAAGTCTATACAGTCAACATCAAGTCGCTTTAAACTAGCCTCGCACGCTGACCTTACATAGGCTGGATTTCCATGCACTTCTCTCTTTCCTTCTGCTTTCTTTTCATCTCCTAAAACAATACCAAACTTTGTTGCTAATTCAACCCGTTCTCTCATCCCTCCCTTCAAAGCCTACATAGATACATAATAATCAGAATTGCAAGCAACAATTATTGCAAAATGGTTAAAAATTCTCAGTTGCTTATGCGATGAATGAATAAGCTTAAGAGTGTGGTTTATGGTTGATGAAGTCGATGCGAACTTTATAAAGTTCGATTCAAATCTCAGCGGAGACAAAAATTAAAAATAAAATACAAAATGATTTCATTTCATTTATCTCAGCCTAGGTCTGTAAAGTTACTCAATATTTGTGCTAATGGAAGGTAGCAACTACATGATGAAATAATCAAGGTGCACATAAGTTAACTTGAACACTTCTATAAGAAAATACAAGTTCACTACACTTTTGTTTCAGTGTACTTTATATTAAGAAAAAAACGACTTTGCAGGAAAAAAACAAGGTAAGCTCAAATAGTAAAATTAGAAATCGCGCATGATGATACAGGTTTGAAGAATCATGAAAATTCTTCTTCTTAAGGTGTAACTCGCGAGGCTTAAGCATCTGAAAGTCTGAAAGGTAGCACATTGTCAGGTGAAAACATGTAATAGTACCTCAAAGTTTCATAACAACCCCGCCGCCAACCCAAAAAAAGAAAAGTGCAAGACTTTAAACTCTGAGAACAATCATATTCTGCATATGTAAACAAATAAAAAAGTGTTCCTTCTCAAACACCAGTAATTAGCACTACTACTTAGTACTTACTCCCTCCGTCCTGTGATGTAACACTCCTTTTTTTAGTCCGTTCCAAAAATGATACTCCATTTCAATTTGTCTGCCTGGTTTTCACTTACACAAAATTTAAGAGAATAATGAAAAACTTTTGAATCTTATGATGTTAAACTAAAGATACGTAGAATGTATCAAAATGTTCTTCAATTGCGTGATCTAAACATATAAGCAATTTTAAAAACGGATTAACAAGAAAAGTAAGACAAACAAATTGAAACAGATAGTATAGCTTTATTTATTAGTAACAATTTAACTGTAAAGTTCTCATCTTGGGACGACGAGTAGCAATCACATACTTTTACCAAAACCAATAAAGGTACAACAATCATAGAATTACGTACAACCATCCTAATGCATAAACAAAAAAAAATTAAGCATTTGGGGTAAAAAAGGTTGAACATCATACTTTACCAATGAGGATTTCGTTGGTGTATGGCCCATATACATCGGAGCTATCAAGAAGAGTGACGCCGGAGTTAATGGCGTGGTGGATTAGTTCGATCATTTCGGGTTCGGGTTTGGGCGGCCCGTAAAAAGCGGACATACCCATACAACCAAGTCCTTGAACAGATACTTGAAGCCCCTCTGAACCCAACTTCATTCTTCCCACTTTTGTTCCTTCCGTCGCCATTGTTGTCCTTTCAGCCTATTTCACTCTGCTAAATGTGAAGGACTGTGGTTTAGAATTATGCGCGGCGGCTGGTAAGTAAATACTCAATTTATCATTGCACATCTAATTACCTTTAATTCGTTTTCAAATTACAAAAATAATCATCTAAATATCCTTACAATTTATGTGTCATATTACGGGTATCGAAATTGTCATTTGAAATGTTGATATGTACAAAGTTCGAGTGGTTACTTGCTATTTGAGATTAAAAGTTTGAATTTATTTATATACCATATCATGTGAAAATATATATTTTTTTTAAAAAAAAAAAAAAGAACAAGTTGTTGGATAAGAGGGATTGATTGGACGGTAAGCGTGCAAACTTAAAAATTGCAAGTTCAAATTATGTTTGGAGACATAATTTATTATTTGAAACAACAGCACGTAGCCTATATTTATGTAGCCTTCCATGCTGAAAGGGGTGGAGTTTCTGAATCTTTGTAGGTTGCCGCAGCCGAACCGTACCTATCACCCTGGACTGCATTAGCTGAAGCAATAGATTCAAGCTCTGTCATGTCTTCAGAAGTAAGCTTTATGGACAGAGCTCCAATGTTCTGGTTTAAGTTTTCAATCTTAGTGGTGCCAGGAATGGGACACACGTCGTTTCCTTGGTGATGTACCCACGCCAACGCCAGTTGAGACGGGGTGCATCCCTTCTTAGCTGCAATTTGACAAATCCTCTCATACAGTTTTTTGTTGTGCTCAAGATTCTCGCCCTGGAACCTCGGTAGATACTGCAAAATTGAAGATCAAACCATGCCCCATATTACACTAACAACACAAATGCACTGAAATTAAACATGATGCGAGTATGCTACAACTCCAAGACGAACAATAAACACAAGCTAACCTTTCGGAAATCTTCATTTGAGCAGTCCTCAAGCAGCTTTGGACCGGATGATAAAAAGCCACGCCCTAGTGGACTGTATGCTACAATCCCGATTCCAAGTTCTCTAAACAGTTCACACATAGGCGTACATCAGGAGCTCGAATTGCAATAGAGCCAAACACGAAAAATTAACAGAAAAAAGAAAGTACCTGCAAGTAGGGACTATGTCTTCCTCTACATCTCTTGACCATAGAG